GATCCATTTTTTGTCATTTAAAGCTCCTTGTTGTGTGGTCCTGGTTACTGGACCCCAGAGAATGAATTCAGCTCATTTATATCCTTTTAATGCACCTGACGTCTTCGATATCTTTTTTTTTTTTTTTTTTTGGTTTTTCGAGACAGGGTTTCTCTGTATTGTTTTGGAGGCTGTCGGTCCAGCTCGGCCTTGAACTCACAGAGATCTGCCTGCCTCTGCCTCCCGAGTGCTGGGATTAAAGGCGTGTGCCACCACCGCCCAGCTCAACTTCTTCTATATCTTATGCTTTCATCTGGCTCTCAGCCACCATCTACACCTGATGGTCCCCAAATATGGGCCTGTGTCGACTCTCCCTGGGGCTCCTGGCTTGCAGAGCCTCCCTTGCTTTTTACCCAGCTCTGAGTTAGGGATTGTATTCCTGTGAGGAGACACCGTGACCATGGCAACTCTTATGAAGGGAAACGTTTAATGGGGTGGCTCACAGGTCAGAGGTTAAGTCCATTGATATCATAGCAGGAAGCATGGCGGTCTGCAGGCAGACACGGTGCTGGAGAGGTAGCTGAGAGTTCTACACCTTGATCTGCAGGCAGCAGAAGTGAACTGTATACCATACTGGGCATAATGAACATGTGAGACCTTGAAGCCCGCCCCCAAAGTAACGCAGTCCACCAGGAAGGACAAACCTACTCCAACAAGGTCACACCCCCCAATAGCGCCACTCCCTGTGGGCCAAGCACACAAACACGTGAGTCTATGGGGCCATTCCTATTCTAACCGCCACATTCTGCATTTACAGTAGCCCTGTCAAATTCGGATGTGCTGACCCCCAGCTCCTCTTCCCACGCCTACCTCTCTGTGTGAGTGCTGGCAACAGCTGTCCTTCAAGGTGTCTGGACTGGGATGTGTGCTCATATTCGATCTCCCTCCTTAAAATTTTATTTATTATGGTTCTTTGTGTGTGTACATAATGACGGTGTGGGTGTGCACGCGCGCGCTTGTGTATGTGTGCACACGCAGCATGTGTGTGGAGGCCAGAGGACAACTTGGTGGATTTTCCTACCTTTATCTGGGTTCCAGGAACTAACTAAGCTCAGGTGCTCGCCCTTGCTTGGGAAGTGCCTTTTTTCCTTCTGAGGCGTCTCGCAGAGCCTGACCTCCCCGTATTTGATGACGTCCCGAGTGTGACCTGTTGGCGAATCATGCAGCCTCTACTGAGAGCGTGTTCTCACCGTGTGTTCTCACGGCGTGTGCTGTCGCGCTGGCTGAGGCGTCGCCATCTCGCTTCCTCTTCCATCTGCTTCTTCCCCTTCAGCCAGCTCAACCCGGAGCAAGGGCGGGGGCGGGTGCTGCCGGAGGGCTCACCCTACTCCTCAGAGCTCTCAGGGGCCCCCACTGCTTCCCACGTGGGCTCCACCGACTTCTGCTCCTTCACCTCTGGCCGCTCAGTCTTTCCGGATCCCTTCCCCTACGGTGCTGTCTCCATCGGACCATCTGCCCTGCCCCTCTGGAATCCTTTCTACATAATAAATACAGATGATATCATTGCAGTCAAGCGTTGCATAGTGGCGGAACGCGTTCTGGGAAAAGTGTTGATTTCTTCACTGTGGGAACATCACAGAACTCTGACACAAACTAGACAGCCGAGTCTGACTATGAGCAGATCACGCTGTGAAGCCTCCCTCCCGCCCTCCCTCCCATGCTCCCCATCTTCCCTCCCATCCTCCCATGCTCCCATGCTCGCATCCTCCCTCCCTCCTTCCCGCCCTCCCTCCCATGCTCCCCATCTTCCCTCCCATCCTCCAATGCTCCCATGCTCCCATCCTCCCTCCCTCCCTCCCTCCCTCCCTCCCTCCCTCCCTCCCTCCCTCCCTCCCTCCCTCCCTCCCTCCCTCCCTCCCTCCCTCTCTTCCTCCTTCACTCCCAGATCTTTCCTAATGCTGCCCTCTCAGTAAGATCACCCACTGTCAGCTTCCAGCGGCTAGCTTCCAACATGCCCCCTTTCTCCATCCCTTCCTTCCTTCACCTCCTCTCTGCCCGACACCCTGCCTGTTGGGCCTGTGAATCTTCTCACCTTGTGACTCTCACGGGAGAAGAAAACCCCCACCAAGGTGGCCCCTATGTTTCCCACCAAATCCTCAGATGCCTGGGATATTGTCGGACCGTTGGCTGAATGAATAGGCGGCTAATGTGTTTTAGTTGAAATTTATTATTTTACTCCTCCACTTAAAAACAAAGCAAACTTTATTATGCCCATCCTTAAACATGGAGGAGATTGAAGAAGGAGCAACAAACCCTCCTGGCATGTGTCACCTCTGTGTCACCGATCATGTGGCCTGATTGGCTTCCACCATGTTGGAGATAAATCACATGTACTGTGACATATGCACATCTCTGCGTGGTAAGGACATTTTCCTGTATTGTCACAGTGTCTTCCCGCACCTACCCGAATGAGTTTGTTACTTGCTATACATGCTGCCCGTGTTCACATTGCCTGATTATTTCACATTCTTTCCAGCTAGCTTATTCCAGTCAGAGTCCAATAAAGAGTCACTAGCTGCATTTCTCCAGGTCCTTTTGCTTGTCTTCGGAGACACGGTCTTGCTCTTAGTCCAGGTTGCCCCCAAACTCATAATCCCCCTGTCTCAGCTTCCTGAGTGCCAGGGCTACAGCTGTACACACACACTCTCCACCCCGCCCACTCTGGCTCCTTGTGCGTTCAGAAATAGTCATCTGGACAGAGCCCACATCCTTCACACCATATCTTCCCCCTACTCAGTGACATCTTGTTCAGGACCCCGGCCCTGTGGTCCTGTAATGGGTTTCCCTATCTGGCTTTCTTCTGATGTTATTAGTTTTTCTCCTCTCCTCACTGTTTCCTACAACCCGGAAGTGATTTCTGAATGCTGGCAGACCGCGATTCGGTGAATGAAATCCCGTCCTGTCATTTCTTCATTTGGAGCATGGGGAACTTTGGGACATACTACTAATTAATATTAACAAAGGAGGGACCCCTTTTTATTTTCTTTTGAAAGTCCTGACGTTTGCATGAGGGTGTCCTAAAACCCTGGCTCTCAAGCCTGCGGTGATGACTCGGTGGTTAAGAGGGCTGGCTGTTCTTGCAGAAGACCTGGTTCTGGTTCCCAGCACCCACATGCTGGCTCACAAATGTCTGGAACTCCAGTTCCAGGGGGATCTGATGCCCTCTTCTGGCCTCCGTGGGCGCTGTAAATACGGGATGTACAAACGTACATGCAGGTAAATACTCATACACATAAAATAAAATGGTAGATACAATCCGTTAAAGACACCTGGGTCTGTTTTGTGCAGGTCTCTTTTGAAGGGGTCTACATGGTTCTTGATAAGCTTGGTGAGCCTCCTCCAAGCTTCAGAACCACCAGAGACTCTGCGTTAAGCATCGTCTCTTCTGTTTTCATAAGTAGGATAAAATGAAGAGTGTGTGGTGCCGTGTGGTTTTTCCTGTGGGAAAATCGGCTTCCCCTGGGCTGGTGGCAAATGTCCAACAATCTTTACACGAGGGCACTGTACCCCCTGAGACCAAGCCTAACGCGCTTTCAGTTTTGAGACTTCTGCTTGGAGTTTGTTTCCAGGTAGGATAATAAATTCTCACGGGAGGCAAAAGTATAAAGATGTAAGAGTGATTCCCCCCCCCCCACCGTTTCTTTCTTTCTTTCTTTCTTTCTTTTTTTCTTTTTGGTTTTTATGAGACAGGGTTTCTCTGTATTGTTTTGGAGGCTGTTGGTCCAGCCCAGCCTCGAACTCACAGAGATCCTCCTGCCTCTGCCTCCCGAGTGCTGGGATTAAAGGCGTGCGCCACCACCGCCCGGCTCCCCCCGTTTCTTTGTAGACTGCACAGAGCACTGGATAAGGGGCTGCAGAGCTGGAGTGCACTTCTGAGATGTGCTAGCGTATAACTGGATTAGAAATAAATAATGGTGGGCATTGGTAGCTCACGCTTTTAATCCCAGCACTCAGGAGGCAGAGGCAGGTGGATATCTGTGAGTTCGAGGCCAGCCTGGTCTACAGAGGGAGTTCCAGGACAGCCTCCAAAGCAATACAGAGAAACCCTGTCTCAACAAACAAACAACAACAACAACAAAAAGTAAATAATGGACTCAGGTTGTTTCCTTGGATCCTGGTTTCTAATTCTTAAAGTGTAAACACATTTAATATCTCTAATTTACCATCACCAAATACTTAGGGCTGGGGTATTTATTTGTTTATTTATTTATTTTGGGGTTTTTCAAGACAGGGTTTCTCTGTATAACAGTCCTGGCTGCCTTGGAATTCACTTTGTAGGCCAGGCTAGCCTTGAACTCACTGAGATCCTCCTGCCTCTGCCTCCCAAGTGCTGGGATTAAAGGTGTGCTCCACCACTGCCCAGGAGGACTGGGTAATTTCTAAAGAAATTAATTCCTCACAGTTTGAAGGCTGAGAATTTAGAGGTGTGCTCGTGCATGTTTGAGTGTGTGTGTGTGTGTGTGTGTGTGTATGTGTGTATGTGTATGTGTGTGGTGGGTGTCTCACTGAGTAAAGGCCTCTTTGCTGGTGAGTGGGGGACACACACAAAACAGGACTCTATGTAGTCCATAGGGAGTCCATGCTAAGGGGCCGATGAAAGGTAGCTAAAGGCTACCTTAGCTTTTACTAGAGGCCCAACCTACTTTCATGATAACTAACTCACTTAGTAACTCAGTAATTCACTCATGCATTAATCCATTTGAGGTGGTCAGGGGTCCCTTGACTCAGTCATATCTTAGAAGTCTCATCCCAAAATACCATTAATGAGTGAATTTGGGAATTAAGTTTCCAATGTATGTTCAATCTTCAGTGCTCAGTCTAGTGTTTTGTGCTGATTTAGGTGTAAAAATATGTTCCCTGACTCTTTAATGTATGAAGTAGGACGTACCTACGTTACCCAGATAACATCTTCAGTAAATAAACCTCACATCACAACTTCCTTTCCCCTTTTTATGATGTAGGAAATCCAGGATCCGTTTATGCAGTGGCTTGGGAGGCATGTGGATCCTGAAGGAGTCATAAAATCCAGCAAGCTCTCCCTTAAGTTCATTTCCTCTTACACGTCTGAAATGGAGATCACCCCATCTTCTATTCCTGTGGTTACCGACCCCGAAACCTTCTCGTCAGAGCACTTTAACTTAGAGACATATCGGCGAAACCTGCAGACCTCGCAGCTCGGAAAAGTAATTCTGTTTGCAGAAGTGACCTCTACGACCATGAATCTCTTGGATGGGTGAGTTCCAGTCAGGTACTTGGCCTGGCCAAAGTGTCCACTGATGTCTGTCCTATGTACCCGGTGCCAGGGGAGAGGGACAGATCCGCCCATCATCTGAGCAGGGTAGACAGACTCTGTCCCGTGTCATCCCCCGCTTCAATCAGAGTCTGTATTTTATACGTGGCTTTGGTGGATGGGGTTGTGTTTTATTCGTGGCTTTGGTGGCTGGGGTTGTGTTTATACGTGGCTTTGGTGGCTGGGGTTGTGCTTCCTTTAATCAGCCGTTTAAAAGTGTCCTTGGAAAAAAGTGTAACAGGTGGCAGTGGTCTGGGGACCATTTTTTTTTTTGTGCTGTGGTAATCAGTGGTAAACTTTTAATCTGGAATCTTCTGCTGGACGTTAAAAGAGTGAAATGGGAGTGACACAGCTGGGTTAGATGGAGACAACTGGGAATGTGTGTTTTGAAAACAGTTCTAGTCCGTTTCTAGTCATTTCCTAAGCTTTCTCTAATCCCATTTGTGTGTTTGAAACTTATTCTTACTGTAAGCATTCACTTTTACTTCTGTTCTTTGGCCTCAGTTCGGAGTCAAAACATGGAAAACAGGTGAAAGGAAGTTTCCTAAATGCCACTCGTTATTTGTACTAATTAACACGATGGTTTTAGTTTAAGGTGTTGGGTGGAAGAGAGAGAAACTCAGAAAAGTGTCTTCCCTGTGCATGGAACCAAAATTGACAACCACAGACTCCAGAAATCACTGAATTCACAGTTTCTAGGGTTTACACACAGGGATCATTGGACGGGTAATTCTACATACAGGAATGCTGTTGCCTTCGTTCTAATAGTATCTGGGGTGGAGCTAATTGGCTATATGCTTATGTTGGTACAAAATAAAGCCAGTAGCTGGTGTGTCCTGACTCTCAGGAAGTTGGCAGAGGGGCGGCTGGTGTGTGCAGTGATGTAGGGAATTGGCAGAGATGGACAGAGCGGGAGACACAGCTATAAGTGAGCTGTGACTGAGCCGTGTTAACTAGTGGGTTTTGTTTATTGAGTTGTTTGTGTTGCTGTAGGTATTTATTTTTTCAGTTTTATTTTCCCCAAAGAGAAAAGTATTTCTGCTTTCCTCGGGCAGTGAGGAATCCTTCTCTCTCTCCTAGTCTGGTCTGTGCCAAGCATGGCCGGTGGGATGGCTTTGGTTGGTTGGTCCCTCACGGGAGCTGTCCTCCACCACTGTCCAGTGGGCTCCCTACCTGTACTCCCAGGGAAAGCTGCTTACAACAGCCTAAGGGATCAGAGGTTCTCAGAGGCTGTGGCTGTTTTAGGAACAGGTCTGCTTAGTGCTGGCAGGACCCAGAGTAGCTCACGGGGATCGAGTGACGGAGTGTGTCTTCCAAGAGTGCAGCCGGAAGGATTTCCGGTGCAGGCATGGCGGGTGAACTTCTCTGTTAGGTGCTTCTCTCTCACCCCACCCAAGGCAGCTTGCAGAAGAGAGGGTTTGCTGTGTGGTTCCTCAGGGAAAGGAGTCTCTCACCGCCACCGCAGGGAACAAGGCGGCGGCAGGTACGGTGAACCAGAACAACCGAGAGCTCACGTCTCAAATGGAAATCAGGAAGCAGAGTATAAACTGGGGGTGGCAAATGACTGTGAAACCTCAAACTTGCCCCGCCCCCCCAGTGACATATTTCTTCCAGCTAGGCCACACCTCCTAGGCCCTTCCCAATCAGAGCCACCAGTTGGGGACCAAGTGTTCAAAGGCTAGAGCCTGTGGGAGACATTCCTTTGAGGTTCCACAGATCCACACCGTGCACCTCATGGAGACACATGTGGCGCTTAGCTGGCGATTCAGAAGCTTTCCCTTCTAGACGTTTCTTCGCCATGCGTCCCTGAATCCAGCCACGCCATTCATCATCTCTCGGTGCTTGGTAGCCACCAGCGGACAGTCATGTATCCCTGTCGTGGTGCCTAGCGTGCTCGGCCACAGGAGGGTGGAGCAAAGCAGGCTGGGCTGATATCTGTGGGGAGCTTACTGGGAGTTACATTTGGCTTTTGTGTCTCGTATCTCAATGCCAGGCCTAGTCACATTAAAAAGAAAAAAAAAAGACAAGGGAACAAATGTGGCCTTCATGTACGTGTACTTTGTGTGTGTGTGTGCATGTGTGTGTGCTAGTGTGCATGTGTGTGCGTGTGTGTTTGTGTGTGCATGTGAGTGCGTGTGTGAGTGCCCGCGCGCGTGCATGTGCACGCACATGTGTGGAGGCCACAGGTCGCCGTCTCCTTAGCTGCCCTTCACCTCACTGTTCTGAGATAGAGTGTCTCACTGAATGTGGCGCTTATCCCTTTGACCGGGTGGGCTGCCCGGCAAACCTCGGGGGACCCGCCTGTGTGCCCTCCTCCCCAGCACTGGGTCTCAGGTGTGCGAAGCCACACCCAGCTTCTTTCTGTTGGTGCTGTGGAGCCACACTGGGTTTGCCTGTCTCACACGTCACCAGCTGAGCCTTCTCCTCCCCCACTGGGCATCTGTGGCTCCAACTGGAGGCGGGCTTCGCTTCTAAGGTCAGGGTGGGAAGACGGTGGGGTGACTGGGAGTCTCCAGGGAAGTGTTTCAGTCTCCAGGGAAGTGTTTCAGTCTCCAGGGAAGTGTTTCAGTCTCCAGGGAAGTGCTTCAGTCTCCAGGGAAGTGCTTCAGTCTCCAGGGAAGTGCTTCAGTCTCCAGGGAAGTGTTTCAGTCTATTCAGGAAGGCGTCTGGGGACCTGTGCGGTGACTATGCCGTAGCCCACGTCCATAGGATTCAGAGTCGCAGTGGAGAGTGGAGACAGTTACTCCAGGAAACGCTGGCTCTGTTTTGCTGCCTTTTTAAGGCATTGTCCTGTTCTTGTACCTTGGGGATCTCCCATCTGACAATGGCCTAGGCGCTCACTGTGTTTTGGCTTTCACTGTAAAGCCCACTTAACCGCTGTGCGGTGGCAGGGGCTGCTGGACGCTCTCGTGTGGTATCTGGGTGTGACACTGGGCTCATCTGCAAGTTAGGAAGACCCTTCACCTTCTGTCCCAACCCCTTGATTCTAGAGGCAGTGAGAATTACTTGCCCATTACATTACCGAAGGCAGTCAAAGGGCACGCGGCTCTCCCCTCCAAAGACAAAGCGTCAAAACCCAACCTCTGGCTGATGCTCCCCGGTCACTAGATGTGGACAGTGTGGACATGCCGTCCAGTTCCGTCCAGTCCCCTGGTTTGGACGGGTAGCTGCACCTTCATCCCCTAGCCCCGTCCTTTTCTCTGGCCTTGAGGGGAGCGGGAGAGTGTTCTAGATGCCTCAGTCTGCCTTGCTGGCTCTGTGGGAGGCCAGATCCTTTATTTTCCTTCCTGTGCTATTTCCATGTTGAGTTAGCTCAGCTGTTGGGGAGAGTCCCAAGAAATGGACTCCAGGCTGTGCCTGGCCCAGCAAGCCGCCGAGCGTTCCCTGGTCACGTCCTACAGCTGTGCCAGGGAGCCATCTGCAGACATGGTGCCGTGTGGTGCGGATAGGTACAAGGCCGTCACCTCCCACCTGTTTGCTTTGCTGGGATATTCAGGGAGCCTGTGCATTCTGTTTACCGGTCAGATGAGGGGCCCGTCTGCTCGGGAGGACAGCTGACCACAGAGCACTGGATCGTGAGTCATTGTTATTTTTGGAATTGTCTTTTCCCAGAGTCACAGTGTCTTTCTTGATTGACTTATGCCAAGTCTCTGTCAGATACTGAACTGAAAACATGCGAAGCCTTCGTGTGGGCAGCCAGATGAACACAAACTGTGTGTAAACGTGCACTCACCGGGGGTTGGCTGCTTTTTATTCGTAAAGAATAATTCCGAATCTCCTATTTAACGTTTAATTGCCACTGTGCAAGTCCCTGGATTTTGCCTCTAGCATTATCTGGGATAAGCCGGGCACTGTGCTCACCAGGTACCACTACTCTTGCCTCAGGGCGAGTCCCCAAAGTGCATTCTGGTGACACTGAACTTGAGGAGATGTGCTCCCGTGTTTGTTCCAGGGGAGGGTACGGGAGAGACAATGCAGGGCGACAAGCAGATTCATCAGCGGGTCAGTGGGCCTTTTCTGCGTGGTTACTCCTTACTGAGTGTTGCTCCTCCATTATAAGGCTCGTAGTCAGTGGGGGAAACGATGGAACCATGACTGTCTTCTCCAGCCAGCTCTGAGACATTGGCGGCATCCCCTCCCTCAGCCCCGCGCTCTCGTAGCTGTGAGAACACAGAAGTTGAGCAGCAGGTGCTACCCTGGCACCTTCAACAGCTTCATCTGGCCTGGAAGTGTCCCCATGTCAGAGACGCCACCAACCACTCTTGCTGTTTCCAAGTGACCACCAGTGCTTTCAGAAGGATAGAAGTTTCTGGGTGGTGTTGAGGTGGAAGGAACAATTAGGAGACAGTTGACTCTACTAGCAAGGGGGAAAGCAAGAAAAAAAAAACAATTTGTGAGAGAGCCGTGAAAAACTGCTTTTGGACATCATGGATACAAGCTCATGTCTGTAATCCCAGCACTGAGGAGGCGAAGGCAGGAGGATTACTACAAGTTCAGTGCTAGCCTAGGCTACATGGGCTCCAGGCTACAGAGTGAAACCCCGTCTCCAAAACTTTTATAATTTTTTTTTTTTTGTGTGTGTGTGGGATCACATTAATGAGGATAGCCGCTGTTATTTTGGGAGGATATCTTGATCTTGAGAGTTCTGGGCTAGCCCAGCTCTTCAGCCGCGGGCTCTCCTCCCTAGCAGCCCTGGCCCTCTCTTCCCTTTCTCCCCTTCTGAATCTACCCCGGGAACTGGCTCCCTCTGCTCTGTACCCTCCTCCCATGAAGTCCAAGCCTGAGAGGACAAAAATTGGGCTGGAACTAATTTAATGGCTGAGTGACCTCACAGTGGAGAAACAGCCGGATCCTAATAGGGGGCTTTGTCTCCGTTCCCACCCTGGCTGGTAGCGTGCCAGTCGAGAGTCGGGCGGGAAGCACAGGTGGAAGAGATTAGAGCT